ACTCTTTATGTCCCTAGCTATTGCATCCACCAATAACTAGCCACTTATCAAGAACTACTGACTAGCCTTTATCAGATTGGCAATCTGGTTGGCTGAACGGAGGATAAACTAGACAGCGCTAATAGTCCCTAGAAACTTATGTTCGGTTGAGCCATCTCGCTACCGAAGTATTCAGATATAAATAGATTTGGAAGTTTAATATAGTTATATTAATAGAACTGGTCTATATCATATCGTTGGCATTTTAATCGAGCCTTGTCTTGTCCAAATACCTGATATGTAAAATGGAAAAGGTATTTAATTAATAAAAACCGTTATAAAACTTTTTTTTCAAAACCATTTTAAAAACTCATTTTTTACGTACTTTTTAATAGTACGTTTTTATACAAGATTCTAACGTGGAGGCCCGGCTATTACAAGTAGTGACTCAACGGTGTCCACTTGGACTTTGTCGCCTGGGAATGCGGCTGTGATTAATTGTAAGGGATGGAATTCCCTTTTTTGCATCCTATTTTTGAGACATGGTACGCATCTTTCAATGTACATGTGTATATGTTGTTGGGTTTGTGGCCATTCGTGTCCATCTGCTTGCAATTTGTTTACCGTTTCCTCATGGGTGTATTGTCCCAAGTTGTGGTATTGCTCGATAATTGACACGTGTCTCGTACTTTTTAATGTGACGCCCCACGGGGTCTTGCCACATGGTTTCGCGCCTTCTTTGAAAAACGTATTGCTTGTGTTTTCCACAAGATTCGGGTCTTCTTCTGGTAAAGATACGAACCTTGGAAACCACGTTGCATTGGGGTAGTATGGTACACATATCGTGATGCTGGTTGTGTAAGTTTCGGTCTATTATGGCGATATTAACGCCTTAGAGTAAATAAACGCTTAGGTTAAGTCTAAGTATATCAAAATTTAAAAGTAAACAAACGAAATGAGTCTTTTAGTAAAGTTAGGTTTACCTCGTGAAAACAACAATACTCTGAGGGATTGTGAGGCTGAGACATTGCCTATATATAATCCTCTCAGTACTGTTTTCGCCGAAGGGATTTTATTTAGTGTTTCGTTGTCGCTCTATTAGAAACTATGGTATGTTTCGTTGGGGCGAATCCGAGAGACTCATAAAATCCTATCTTTAGAAAAAAAGAAAAGAAAGAAGAAGAAAAAAAAGATGTCCACAGTTATTGCATTAACCAATAACTTGCCACTTATCAAGAAATACCTACTTAGTCTTCTTCATACTGGCACATCTGGTTGGTTGAACGGAGGATAAACTAAGCAACGCTAATAGTTCTTAGAAACCTATGTTCGGTTGAGCCGTCTCGCTACCGAAGTGTTCAGATATAAATAGATTTGGAAGGTAAATATAGTTCTATTAATAAAACTAGACCAAATCTTATATTCGGGTTTTTTACTGGGGCCTTTTAATGGCCTCCAAATATCTGATATGTAAACTGGAAAAGGTATTTAATTAATAAAAACCGTTAAAAACCATTTAAGAGTTTACGCGTTTTACGTACTATTAAGAGTACGTTTTATATTATAAGATTCTGATGTGGAGGCCCGGCCTTTACAATTGCCTCTTCGATGAAGTTGTCAAGGACATCAGGTATGAGCGCTCATTTCAGTAGGAGCGCATTATGTTCTTTTGTGTAGTATTTATCCGTGTGTGCGTTGCGTGCTGATGCAAACAGATCTACTGTGAATTTCCTAAATTGTCTTTCACTTCTTTGTAGGATCTGGGGTATAACATCCAGACTATAACTGATATGATATGGACATGTTTGTTTCCAAGGTGGTACACTCTTGGCTGTTATGTTATACTTTGTTCGCGTCATTTAATACCTCGGACATTTTAGTATTAAATGTGGCTTTGTGTAGACGCGACAACATATCTGCCATCTGGTTCTCCTTGCCTAGGACAAGTATGATTGAGAAGTGAAGGAGGAACGATTTTGCTATCCATTTGGCTTGTATTGGGTGTAACGTCTGTTGGCTGTTCATTTGCGTGAGCGCTTTATGACCTTTCCACAGCGTTATATACCCTTCTTTGATGTATTCGGAGAAATGTTATAGGTTGTAAACCAGTGCTAATAGCTTTTTAATGTTTGTGCCATAGTGTTGTTGGGCTGGGTACAAACCTTGGGAGAAGTAGAGAATATATCTCCTGACTCCATCGATGACTTGAATAAACATCCTCCTATGCCATAGTCACTAGCATCGTTCATAATTTAGAGGCACCCCATCAACAGGGTATGCTAGTGTTGCCGAACATGCGATGGCTTCTTTAAGTTCTTCCCACTTCTTTTTGAGTTCTGGTGTCCAAAACACGGATGTGTTCTGGTTCAATCTTCTTTTTAAGTTCCGGAAGTGTTTAATTGTATGGGCAAAGTCGAGGATATGGTCGCGCATATAGTTAGCGAGTCCCACCGCGATTTGTGCAGATTTCGTTTTGTTCTGGGTTGTGGCCAACCCATAATCCTTTTCTGTTTTCAGGATCAGCCTTGAGTCCTTGTGTGGTGACTTTCACACCTAGAATATTGACCACTTTGACCGCTAAGGCACATTTGTTGTGGTTGAGTCGGAAGGTTGCTCCGTTCAGCCGTTTGATTACTTCACGAACTGTCTTGCGGTGTTCCTCGTCTGTAGGACTTGCAATGACTATGTTATCCGAAAGTTACTGATTTATTTACATTATTTCTCATAATTCCGGTCCAAACACCAAAGTACCTTAAAAATTGTCCAAGTGTAAAATCGCCTTATTTTTTTTTCTTTACAATTTTTTTTTGCGGAATCAATTTTGAGTCCCACATAACCCCCTTATTTTCGGGATACAAACCTGATTTATACATTTTTCTATTCCCATTTATTTCGGGTGCAAGCCACGGGATCCGATTTTACGTCCTGATTTTACGTCCCACACAAAGTCCAGTCAGCCGTCCTAATTTTTATACGTCCCATTCCCAATTTTTATTGCTACATTTCTTGAACATAGTCCGTCCCAAACCCGATTTTTACCGCTGAAACTTACCTTCGACTTGACCCAATTTCATGACTTGGTACATCTCCCGGAACAGATCGAGCAATTTTTCCATATCCTGAACAATCCACTCAACCAAGTACTGATAAACCGTAGCTGTGTCCATTGTTGGATTGCTGAGTCGCGCAAGAAATAGAGCAAGAGTAAACAGATAACAGTTGCCACCCACTTCTGTGTCAAACCGGTCACGAACAAAGGGGTCGAATGGTTTCTCGACAAAATTCAATTCGTATCGTTGGACACACGCGCGGTTACACACAACTTGTGTGGAAACAAACCGAAAAGACGTCCCAAATTGATCATTGTAACCAAATTTATCAAGGGTGACATTAAACTCGTTTATTGAATCTCCACTGGGATCCATCGCTTCAATCGTTTCATTTTCAAAGTCTACAATTATAGGCATCACATGCCCGCTTTCGTCCGAGTTCGTAGAAAGTGTGATAGGGCAAAACGTGTCTTACATTCGGCTGCGTCCAATTTCTGAATAACGGACTGAATATTCATTTCACTAGCTGTTTCAGCATGTATCTTTATGCGATAATTGATGACTGTGCACACACTGGGAAAATCGCGAAACAGGATTAGAATGTAGTCACCAAGCTGGCTCATAAAAGACAATCTCTTGTAAAAGGAAGAGTTATCGAATACGGTCGCATCATCATCCATAAAATACTTTGGCATGCATAGCATCCCACCTTTCAGAAGTGCGTGTCGTTCCAGCTCCATCGTCCGTTTTTTGCTTAGTCTAGAGTCTTTATGACACAGAATGCGGTACTCGAGTAAGTCGAACGGGCGCCCCATGGTAAGTCTGATATTGTCCTCCAAATTCTTTATGTCTAAAATTTTACACTTGTTGGTAGACACGTGGTAATAGTGCTTGTCATATTGAAATGTACGCTGGTAGAGTCGTGCGATATCGAAAACAAAATCATTTGAAGTATCCAAAATTTGGTTGTATTTTTCAACAAACGGATAATAGACCGTTTCCCACAGCGGACTACGTGTCACCACCGAGTTCCGATCCGTAAGCTGGTACTTAATAGTTGGTCTGAGTTTCTCTTTATCATCATCACTGCGCGATTCCGTACACGTATTACGAGTCTCCAGTAGCACTTCCGGGCGTCCACGTGTAGCCTCAATGTTGAACTTGATTGTATTCTTGTACTTGGATGACCGTTTTTGGATACATTTTCTATCATGTATACTATAGATGCATGTATCGTTTGTGAACATGTCGGTGAAAAGTTTAAAAACTTTAGATATAAATTCGCGCGTACTCTGCGAATCTCGTTCGGACGTGTGGTATTTGTTCAAAAATTTGTCCCTGTCCTGCACACCAATTGGTTTTGTGTCGTACTTACACTTACGAGTTGCCAGTAGCTCTTCTGGACGTCCGCGCGTATTCTCAATGTTGGTTTTCAATGCAGTATAATAGTCGTATGTATAATTTTTAATGGTTCTTTTATCGCGAATACTATAGGTGCAAGCGTCGTCTGCAAACGCCATGGTGAACGCTCGAGACACCTTTGATACAAACTTTCGCATCCCTGATTCGGTTCTATCAATACTCTTGTAATGTGTAAAGAATGTCTCGATGTTGTCGTCTACATCCACGGATAGGTCTGCCGACTCGGGTGTGTCATCCACGACCCGTGGCGTGGGGTGTTTCACAGACATGACTGGTTGGGGTACACTACCCGTGCACTTGGTGCGAGTCGCCAGTAGCTCTTCTGGTCGTCCGCGCGTATCATCAATTTTTTTGTAATCGCTTCGTAATATTCGTCTGTTAAATACGGAACGATCTTTTTGTCACGGATACTATAGATACACGTATCCCCCCTAAACGCGTCGTAGTAAGCCTTAGATATCTCTGTTAGAATTGCCATTGAGTACCATTCCTGTCGATCGATGATCGCGTATTTTATCAGAAACAGTTCCGCATTAGTCATCTGATCTTTTAAAATCCGCGCTTTTGTTGCGAGTCGCCAGTAACTCTTCCGGTCGTCCGCGCGTATCCATAACGATATTTTTTTAATGCGTTATAGTAGCCAAGTGTCCCATTTTTGAATGTTTCTTTGTCACGAATACTATAGATGTAAACGTCATTCGCAAATGCTTCGGTGAATTTTTGAGATACCTTTGCTGCAAACGACCGTGGTCTCAACTCCGTTTGGTCAATACTCCTATAGTTTATCAGGAACGTCGCAGTGTTCTCTAAGCCCTCGGGTGTGTCCGCCAACTGGGGCTTGTCCACAAACCGTAGTGCAGGGGGCTTCACACGCAGGTCATCTGTGCTCTTGTTGCGAGTCGTCAGTAGAACAGCCGGACTACCAATAGTGTCTACAATGTTGGCTCTGATTGTACTAAAGTACTCGTCTGCCGCACGTTCAATCCATTTTTCATTACGGATACTATAGACGCGCGTGTCGTCCGTGAATGTGTTGGTGAAGAGGTCGAATACGCCGGACACGTATTCATCTACACTCTCCACCTTCCAAACGATATCATGAACCTTTTCCAGGAATGTCATTATCCTTTCGTGTTTAAATTTTTTCTTTAGCAAGTCTTGCCCTATTCGATGAAATTTGGACTTTGCGACGATTCTTAAACCCTAAACCCTATATTAACTTTGGTCAACATCCCATACATAATCCCGAGTCTGACCCACTTTCATAACTTGATACAGCTCCCGGAACAGGTAGAGTTTTTTATCAATGTCACTAGCCCATTCGTTCAAGTACGTGTAAACTGTGCCCGTGCCCATTGTGGGATTACTGAGTCGAGCAAGAAGTAGTCCAAGAATCCACAAATAACAAAATGATAGTACGTTCCTTGGTGAGCAACATATTCCAGACAGAGTTTGTACCCAAACCGATCAAGAGTAAGGATAAAATCATTTATATCTTGTCCAATGGGATCGATCGTTTCGAATGTCTTCGATTCAAAGTCTACAACCAAAACCATCGCGTGTGCCGCACCACTCTCACCGACCACACTAAGCGTGATTAGGGCAAAACGAGTCGTACAATTAGCCGCATCCAGTTGTTCAATAACTGACGGGATACGCAATGCTTCAACTGTTCTATCAGTTGACTTTATATGGTGCGTGATGATTGTGCATACACTGGGAAAATCACGGAACAGATTTTTAATGTGTCTACCTGACGTTTTCATAAAAGGCACCCTCTTGTAAAACGACGGATTGTCGAATACAGTCGCATCGTCTTCCACCGAGTACCTTGGCATACATAATGTATCACCATTGTGAAGTGTGTGTCGCACCATCTCCATTGACCATTCTTTGCCGAGACGACAGTCATCTTCGCAGAGAAGGCGGTACTCGAGTAAGTCAAACGGGCGGCCCATGGTAACTTTGACATTGTCCTCCAAGTGGTCGATATTTGTTGACGTACAAACATTGCAAAGTACGTCGTAATAGCACGAGTCATCTGGGAAGGCTTGCTGGTAGAGTCGTACAATATCTGCAATACAATCACTCGATGTATTTATAATACGGTTGTAACTTTCAACAAACGGACAGTAGACCGTTTCCCACTGCGGGTTTTGTGCTATTACCGAATATCGATCCGTAAGCTGGTACTTAATAATTGGTTTGGGTTTCCCGTCGAGAACGTCGAGGCACGATTCCGTGCACATATCACGAGTCTCCAACAATACTTCCGGACGTCCGCGCGTCGCCTCAATGTTGAATTTGATCGTATTGTGGTACTCGCTTGATTGGCGTTGGATACATTTTTCATCATGAATACCATAGACGCAAGTATCGTCCGCAAACGTGTCGGTGTAAAGTTTAAAAACATCCGACACAAATCCACCCGTATTTCGCGCTTCTCGTTCAAACGTGTGATATTCGTCCAAGAAGATGTGATATTCTTGCACATCAATCGAAGGTGTGGCGACCCGTGGCACTGGGGGGCTCACACGCGCTTCGGGTACTACCGGATGGCTGGGTGTGGTTGGATTGGATGTGCGGTTATTCTCACCCGTGCACTTGTTGCGAGTCGCCAGTAACTCTTCTGGTTTCCCACGCGTATCTTCAATGTTGTATTTGACTGCTTCAAAATACTCGGGTGTAGAATTGTTATAGGATTGCCTCTCCCGGATACTATAGATACAAGTGTCTCCCGTGAATGTGTCGGTGAAAGCTCGAGACGCCCTTAACACAAACGACTTTGTCGCCCTTACCTTATTG